AGACCTTACGTCCCCAAACCAACCAGCTCTTATCATTAGCTATACCTCATTATATTGCACAGTTAACTTGACCAAAAAGGTTGAGAAAAGAAAAAACAGCAACCATGGGCATTTTGCATTTCTTGCATATTAGCTGTGCAGAACAACCACAATCTTGACATCACCTCAGATAGCTGGTAACTAAGCTTTAGAGGTGGACAAAAAAATCAAAATTTGTCATCTCTCTCTGAGTTTTGCCTGAGTTTCACATATTTCCCTTTAAACAAACTCTAAAAACCAGAACACTTTTCTGGTGCTCGTATTTCTCCCTATTAATCCAAGCAAACTTTTTGGTTACAATGATGTTACAGATCATCTTAAAATAGTCTTACTGCAAAGACTGTCTAAATATTTTAATAAAATAAGAGCAATTTTTTCCTTCCATAATGCATGTTACCACAGCAAAACAGGAATGAGGACTGCAGCAACAGCAAACTCATTAGCTCCCATAACTATGTACCACGTACTTCAAAGGATTCATCAGGCCTACAGAAACGTAGATACTTCATAATATGCATGTGATAAAGGTAAAATGCCTATCCTAAAAATGTTTTTTTCTACTTAAGTCTATTATAAATGCTAATGCTAATATGCTCTTCTGCATGGCACAGGCCATACAGTCTTATCCAGCAGTTCTTGAATCGTGAGCTAGGGCAACGTATGAGAGACAGCCGTTTAAACAACTGTCCTGGAGATTGTTTAAGCAGATATTCTGATAACTGAAATGTATCGTTATCATGTGGTCCTCCCCCAAGCCCCTCTGCCTCCCTGTGTTTTTGCACACAACAACAGTAATAGAGCTGTACGTACCACAGGTTCCCAGCCAAGCAATAACTTGGCTTTTCTGATGTCAGGTTTTCGTTTCTGAGGGTCATCCTGTGCTTCTGAGAGAAACTGGATTTCACTCCCACTGCCTATTAAACAAGAGACTGTGCATTATCATCTGCAATTCACTATGCTTTGCATTTACATCTTTCCTACCTATTGGAGTGTCAAGTCTTTCTGCAGCTTTCTGCTTCATAATTCTACCACTGAAATGCTTTCCACAGACACAGTTACACTGCATGCTACAGCTGGGTGAACCCGCTGTCCCACGGATTCACAAAGCATTTCACAAAGCTTTCAGCATGGATTCACAATAAGGAAGTTATGCTTGACCAGTCTAAAAACCTTCTACGATGAAATGACTGCCTCAGTAGCCAAGGGCAGAGTAGTAGATATCATCTACCTTGACTTAAGTGAGGCTTTTGACACTGTCTCCTATAACATCCTTATTGAGGGCTGGATGAGCAGACAGTGAGGTGGATTGAAAACTGTGTGGCCGGGCACAGAGGGTGGTGATCAGTGACATGAAGTCTGGTTGGAGGCCGGTAACTAGTGCTGTACCCCAGAGGACAATACTGGGTCAATACCGAGTTGCTGATATACCAGAGGGCTGTGCTGCCATCCAGAGGGACCTCGACAGGCTGGAGAAAAGGGCTGACAGGAACCTCATGAAGTTCAACAAGGAGAAGTGCAAAGTCCTGCACCTGGGGAGGAACAACGCCGGGCACCAGTACGTGCTGGGGGCTGACCAGCTAGAAAGCAGTTTGGCAGGAAAGGACCTGGGGGTCCTGGTGGACACCAAGTTGAACGTGAGCCAGCAATGTGCCCTTACAGCAAAAAAGGCTAATGCTATCCTGGTCTGCAGTAGGAGGAGTGCTGTCAGCAGGCCAAGGGAGATGATCTTCCCCCTCTACTCAGCACTGGTGAGGCCACACCTGGAGTGCTGGGTCTAGTTCTGGGCTCCCCAGTACAAGAGAGACACGGACATACTGGAGAGAGTACAGCGAACAGCTACTAACATGGTGAAGGGACTGGAGCATCTCTCCTGTGAAGACAGGCTGAGAGAGCTGGGACTGTTCAGCCTGGAGAAGAGAAGGCTCAGGGGGATTTTATCCATGTGTATAAATACTTGATGGGGGAGTAAAGAAGAGGGAGCCAGGCTCTTTTCAGTAGTGCCCATTGACAGGACCAGAGGCAATGGGCACAAACTGAAACACAGGAGGTTCCCTCTGAACATCAGGAACGCTATTTTACTGTGAGGGTGACCCAGCACTGGCACAGGTTGCCCCGTGAGGCTGTGGAGTCTCCATCCTTGGAGATATTCAAAAGCTGTCTGGACGTGGTCCTGGGCCACTGCCGGCTGTAGGTGGCCCTGCTTGAGCAGGAGGGTTGGACCAGATGACCTCCAGAGGTGCCTGCAAACCTCAACCATTCTGTGACTCTGTTTGCACTTTTGCATTGTAGAAGGACTTCACTTCCTCTTTGCCCATACTCTCCAGTCTGATTTAAATAGCCAACATAGTACTTGCCTTTCCTCATGACAATACACAGAAACAGGACAATTTTGCTAACCAAATCTAGCAAATAGTTTACATGCCATGTTACTGTGGGATTTTATGGATGTAGAACTAAACTGCCTCTCTGGGTAGACTGAAACAGATCCAGTTGTTTGTGAACAAACAGACAAATGGAGGTAACAATTATTCTATGTGCCTGATGGGTTTGTTGCTGTGATTTTCAATTTCCTTCCGTGGTCTGTGGATTCATAGATGTTTTCCAGAGGGTATAGTCCTCTACTAGAAACATGACATGCATCAGCTTCTGTACTGCCTGTTTGAACTTGTCTTTTTCAGACCCCTCAGAAGCAATGCTGGAATCTACAGACTAAAAACCCTTGGCTAATAGCATCAGTATGTTTCACCTCATTAGGAAGCCGTACTAGAAGACGAAGCACAGCCCTTTCCTTCCATTCCTGAGAGCTCTGATTTGCTACAGGTATCAGAGCAAGAATGAAGAGAAAGCCACAGTGTTATCTTCCCGGCCCCACATACAAGGAGGTGCTGACAGCCCTTGCAAGAGTCACTGGTAGATCAGTGAAAAGTAGAGAAAAGACTGTCACCACAGCATGAGGTTTTTAATGGTAGTTGAAGGAGCACAGCCTGCACAATTGTGAAGAACCATCTTGCTGAAGTATCCATATTTCAGCTAAGATGTTATACAAGACATTTTCATTCATGTGTTTTACATGTCATTTATGTATTGTCCTTGTGCCAAAACAACGCTAAAAAAAAAAAGCATAAACATTATACAAAATAATTGGCATAGATTGCACAGATACACAGAAAGAATGTATTCACTCTACTGTTCGTGCAATATTTTACATACAATTGAAAGGATTTGGATTATCTTATTAATATTTAATTAGATGATTAGGATACAATTAAATGCCTTTGATAAGTTATTAAGAAATCCAAAGACCAATTAAATTATCCATATATTACGCACACTAATCAAGTAATAATAATCTAACAACAATAAGTACTTCATAAGCTTTACTAAGAATTACTTATCATACTCACCAACAAGTTTTTTAATTAACTGGGCAAATTCTAGGATAGTGTGCTCTTCTGGGTTTCCCTAGAAATAGAAGGGATATTCATTACAATAGCAATTAAACACCTTAACACATGTTAGCTTTCTGACATGAGATGATTCTAACAGGGTCATGTTAAACTCTGAAGAGGCTAAATATTACACCTTACTCCTACTCTGATGAAAAAAATTTAACTTTGACAAGCTCCATACTCATCAGAAAAGTTGCCCTCCATTACATTTGCCTTGGTAATTCAGTGTATTGTAGGGGGGCAATGTATTGCCCAAAAAAATCAGTCTGTAAAGAATGGGCAAATGCACCTCAATCACAGTAAAGGCATAGACCACTCAGCAGCCCACAAAAACACATCATCAGTTTGAAATCTGGATTCAAGGACTTCGCTGAGTTGAGGACAGACGATATAATGAAGTAGTATGCTAAATTCTTAGTTCATCCAGAACTACAAAACCCAATCAATTTAGCTGCAAACAATTGCTTCTGCATTTACTACTTACATATCAATGGGCATAAAGGCTACTTGCTTTCTTATGCAATATTCCTTTTCTTAACTCTAATTTTTTTTGCACATGAACTCCTGATCAACATTTCAGAACAAAATGCTTAAAGCTTCCTGTTAGCATTAGCTCACCTTCATCAGACTCAATTCCCTCCAACCCTAGCTTTCCTTATCTAAAGCTGAACATTTAGGTACATACAGATTTTCTGCAGACAAAACATGTGATGAGGTTTAAAAAGATCAGCATTTGGATAGAAACATAGAACTGAATTTATGGCCACAGTAAAAGAGGAAAATCTAGTGAACAACTGCCCTGCAGAGTTGAATACCTGATCTGGCAAAAGTTGGCATACACAGAAATGACCTGGTACATGCATCCTTTTTCTATTCTTATATCCACTGCTGAGAATAAGGTGACAACAAATGGGACAGAACAAAAATCCTTTTAGAAAAGTTAAGTTCTAAGCAGCCTTACTCAATATTAGAAAATTATACAACCAAATACTATCCCATTTTCCTCTAATCAAGGCTAGTATGAAGTGATTTCTAATTATTTAGAGCTAAGTATTCCTTCAGTGCTTTTCTTCATTAAAACCAGTCTTCAATCATTTCCTTGGTGTATTTTGCATGTCTTCCCCCCCCGCCATATTTTGTTCAGTTTTTTTCATATTCTAATTACATAAATCTTTTTGCTAAAACAAATGAAAAACTCTAGCAAATTTATCCTGTTCTTGTAACTGTAAGATCTCAACATAGGGGCTTAATCTTCTTATTTATGAAGAGAATACATGGAAGATTACATTATTCATAACAGAAAGAGCTTTTTTGCTCCATTTATTTCTTCCAGAAATCAGCATCAGTGACAAGGAGGAAAACAGAGGTGATGTTGGCCACTGCACAGTAAACACAGTGGAGTAGAGCTCTCATACTCACCAAGTTGACAGGACTGCTGACATTGCTGTTCATCAGTGCCACCAACCCATTCACAAGATCGCTATAAAAAGGGAAGAACAGATTGAGACAGTTTCCACTTCCCTATAAATAATATCCTTGTCTAAAAAGAGAGGTGCCTCCTCAGAGCTCCAGTAAAGCAGATCAGGCAGCTGAGAGAGGAATGCTGAAATCAGATTTACAGTGTATACTTGAATGAGTGCATGTTTTCTCAGCTGTTTGTTCCACAGTCCCTATTGTAAGATATACTGAACTGGGGGTTAGTTTGAAAGGGTGATTATCTTCGGATACACTGGCTATAGTTCATCTGAGCATATGAAAGAATATAAAAAAAAATCAAGTTACTAAAAAACAATTAATACTTCCTCTTCCCTCCAGTACCCAAGAATATTTAGAGGCCCATTACCAACACATTTCAAACAGAATAGAATCAGTCGTAATACAGAGGCACATGACACCACCACCTGCTTTGCAGTTTGTTGTTTTAATTGTCTTCTCGCTTTCAGAAATTCTTAAACCAAGTTTGTTAAAAACCAGTATTTTGGTGTTACCTCCCCCCAGCAAAATAACCCAAAGTTATTTTGGATTATCAGCAACAAACTTAGCAGCTTGCCCCCAGACATACAAATCCAGATCCCTTTCATTATGATTTATAATCAGGAAAGGAGTGGCTACTTTGAACTGATGGGGTTTCTGTAGTGTCTATCACCGCTGTTACTACTTTCAGCAGAGGGAAAGAACATTTCCAAGTGGAGGAGAATGATTTAAACAACCCAGAAGCCTGGCACGGAAGTTCAGCTAGCACGACAGAACAAAAGATTCTGAGGAACAGATTCACTTTTTTGTAGTGAAAGTACATTCCGGCCTTGCTTACACTGCAAATATTAGCTGCAGCAATACCCCCTCAACTGGTTCCTTCCCCCAGAAGGGGACACGCGCATCTACAGTACACATGCTGACCACAGCAACCCCGAAGACACACGGTGGCAGTGTTGCATTAAAATGCAAGGACTGACAAACTGCTCAGCATTAAACACTTACCTACGTGTTACCTGCTGTCCCTTGAAGGGAAGAACACATTAATATTTCAGTTCAAAGTTCTAAACCAACTAACATTTTGTTTCTTGGTACTTTTAAAAACTTCAGTGTCTCCCTTCTGAAAGTAAAGCTGGCCTAAGAATGAACATTTTTCTTTTGACTAAAATGCACATGCATACAAAGTTGGCCAAGCTCAAAGAACCGTCAAGTGAAATAAATATCAGACAGTACAAACGAGGCTTACCTGACATACTGGAAAGCTCTCGTCTGAGTTCCAGGTCCATAGACCTAAAACCAGATGAAAATTCGAAAAGTTACATAAATATAAAAGTTCTCTCTAGCCCAATTATCTTTTCCTCACCAATCTAGTAAAGCATCCCAAGGAGATACACCTGAGACACAAGCTCAATGTTACAGGAATGGAAAAAGATGTGCTTGCAGAGCCTGGCAAAGTATCAGTTCTTTGAAGGTCTTCTTCCTCTTGGACGTGTCTCCAGTAAACATATCCTCAGGGATTTTGTTAACCAGAACTCTGCATGTAGAAAACATTCTCAAGGATGTAGGACGGAGTGATGCTTTGTCCTCTCCTGGAACACTGAAAGAGGTTGCAGCATGCACTCAGCCAGAAAAGAGCGCCAAACATTTAAAGCAAACCTCAGACTACCAAGATGTGGTTATAATGAGCAATTTTCATTCGCTCATTAACAACAGCCAACTTCAAAGAGACCACCAAATGTTAGTGGTCTCTAAAAAAATTGTCAAGAAGAATAGCACTGTAAGCATTTAAAGCAATCAGGACAAAAAAAAAAAAAGTGGCTCTAAATATTACTATCTGAGGAAATGGGAAGTAGAATAATTTCTGGAGGATACGACTCCCAAAGTCACCTGTACAGATTTGTATCAAAATCTTAGAGGGGAAAAAATAAGTTTTCTCAGGTTATGCACTGGCACTTCAGAGCAAGCAAGTTGTTTAAGTTCAAACAGACATTAAAGTATACTTAAAGTGTACGTAATGGTATCCGATAACATTATTTTTTTCACAGTTTAATTGCGTGCAGTACTAAAGTCCCTAGAACATGAATACTTAAATTCTGAAAGCAATTAGTAGGCATACTGAAGTGGTGAAAACACTTAAGTTTAACTGGGGATGCACACATCTTACCATCAACCTGCTACAATAGAAAAGCTTTTTGGAAGGACAGACTAGAAAGCATGTTTGTTTTCCTAGGGGACAGGAAAGACAATACAATTGGTATACATGCCATCATCTGTCACTTGGTAAGCCTGCTGCTCTCCGAGGCCGATTCAGAACCAAGACAGTACACATTTCAGCAGGCATTGGGTAAGATCAGGGGTTTAAGAGTTTACCCAATAACTGATTCTGAGAGGAATGCACCAGGAGAGCACACTGACAGCCTAATGGACTCCCAAAGCAAACAGGAAGCAGATTTTATGGGTGTATATAGAGCTTCCTGCTTGTTTTCTTTTAGCTTGTGGGCTAAGTTTTACAGAACTAAGTCATTTGTGCATGATTTCTGCAAAGTCATCCGTGTGGCTACCTTTCCTATGTGCAGGTGGTGGCTGGAAAATACAATGTAGTTTCCTCCTCCCAATTTCTCTTAATACCTCCCGATTTCTCTTAATAAACCCTTCCTTTACAATAACACAAAGCAACAATGGTCATGTTTGCATAGGCTATATTTTTTTCAAATTAAAGAGATTGTTTTCTCAAGAGATTATTTACTCCATTTGAACAATTCCTTTGAACCAAGAGATTGAATAAATTTGGTTTCTAAAAAGGTCAACACTTGGTATTCCTGTCAGCCAAATTCTGTGATGATACAAGGATGAAATCTTTTTTTGTCTCAACTACTGCTTATTGCTGATAATTCATTTTATTTGACCTGGTCAGCTAAACAACTCTCCCCTTAGTTCTTTTCTCATATTCAGTAATTTTCAATGTCATACAGTCACTCCCTACAGAACAGTGATGTTGGGCAAAATGTTCTATTTCATCCTCTATTACATTCTTGATAAAGTCTAGACAGCACGGCAATTACAAAAATAATAATAAAAAAAGCTTTCAATATTCTCTTCCACAGAACAGCACTGACTCCAGACTTCTCTTACTGATGCTCTGAAATATCCCATGGATTGTATGTTTTAAAACAAGGTAACTGCTTCATATTTAGCAAGGCTTCACAAAACTTCCAGTTAGTGTTCTCACTCTCTACTTGTTATAAAAGATTACAGTACTACTTTCAATGAAACTTGAGAAACTAAGCATGAATGAAAAAAAATGTTTGAGAGGCCAAATATGGCAATAGTTCACTACATGCACTGGGGAACAAACTTGAAAAATGGAAGTACCTTCTGACCCTCTGTAGGCTAGATAAGCTTTCTAAACAGCATTTAGAGGCTCAGACTTTATGCCCCAGGATGCCATCCTGGGAACTTATAATACTGACAAACTAGTTTATGGTTATACTTATATTTTGAAACAAGCAAATCTTACAAGGATCAAAAGTGTCAAAGCAAGAAGCTCCATCTTCTTGTCTGCTACTACTTGCTTAGTGTCTTGCAACAAACAGAACCAGCCTGAACCTGCAGCTCTGGGGAGGCGCCTGGGTAAGAAAATGAAACTCTTTCTGCAGGAATTTGAGTGCTTTTTTTTTTTTTTTGGTGTTTTGAAAGGAAAAAAAGTACTGAACCCATGTGGTTGTGCAATTAGCTGAAGAGACTCCTATCAGCAGAGACTAGGCAAGCTGGGCTCACTGGTTTTGTCAGCTACTCAAGACTAAGCCCTGACATCTGCAGTCTTAATGCTGACTTATGACACATTAAACGTCGTATGTCCTAGTAAACACTGGTCATTAAGTCACAGTCAGCATCATACGATTGCTACCATACTCTGAGCACTGAGAGTGCTTTGTAGAAAAAAAAGTAAATCTCTGGGGAAAAAGCAAATCTTTAGGAGATGCAGTGAAAACAGCATTCAAATTACTACAGGCTTGTTACTCTGAAATAACCACAAGCCTAAACCAGAAATTTAGCAATGGTTAGGAACAACAGAGTAGCCAAGATGCATCACTTATGACATTAAAAAAGAATAACAAATTGCCTAAGTTAACAATCACTAATAAACAGCAAGCAAGTAAGCAAATGCTGACCTCCAGAGAAGACCAATCTTTCAAAAATTATCAGTGTACTTAAGTCAGGTGATGTGCATTGCTTTGCAGAATATATACAATTTGAGCTTTTTTAACTTTATTTTTTATAAAGAGTTCTAGATTTCACCCTGTCAGTAGGGCAGTGTTTACTACCCAAGTTTTGCAGGGGGTAGCTGTATTTTGGCATATTATTTGAAAAAGATTAAAGTTAGGGGAGATCTATGACAGGACAACAAGCTTCACCTTGCCTGGGCATGACTTAATCCCTGGTCTAGACTCTTCAATGCTCTGTCCAGTTTCAGATTTTGCTCTACAAGAATCACGATAGTGGGAGTTGCCACAAAACTTTCCTCCTTTTCTCCTTGGATTGTCTGCTCCTTCCTAGAGGAATTCCTGGCTGAACTCTGGATTTTATAGTCTCCATTAGAAGGAATGCTGTCTCAGTCTCAAGATAGCTGCCCTGTGGAGGTACTTAGCAACATTTTTAGTTATTTAGCAGAAGCCGCTGAGTGATTTACTGGCACTTCACTCTTCTAATCTAGGCAATATTAACAAATATTTATATGAATTTTTTCTTGTATGTCACATAAACTGTAAATGTTTCCATGAGCTTACAACTGATCTCAGATTCCAAACTACTTCTCCCTGTTTCAGGATGTCTCCTCATTTATTTTACATATCCTCATTATTTTATAACAGTAAACGAAACAGGATCAGGGCATAGGTCAGACACTGTCTGTATTGCTAAATTACCAGCAGCATCTTTGGCAGAGCATTGGCCTGTGCCAGCTCTTGCTCTCCCAGACAATGTTGTGACATTGCTTAAGCATTATCAAGAGCCAAGGACCATTCACAGCAAATAGCCTGGATGTGGCAACTTGCTTCAGCAGG